AACCACGTTATATAATCTATTAATTTGAATATTATATTTTACTAAGTAATTATAAAGCTCAAATTTATTGTAAATATTAATAAACTGATATAGAGAAAAAAAAGATGAATTAAATAATATATGAAACAAGATAATTTCTATTAGACATCTGTAATTCAAGATTATTTTGTTTTATAAAAATAAAATTTAATAATTTGATATTTGAAGTACTATTCCATATTATCTTGAATACTTGAGATTAATTTAAATGATTTTGTTCTAATATAATTATTAGTAAAAATAAATATTAAATTATAAATTATAAAAAAAAGTAAGATTTGAACTTCACTTATAGGTTTTGTATTCTGAATTAATTATTTGAAAATCAAACTTTTCATTTATATTAGGATTTGAAAAACCCCCGCTTTAAGTTAAACTTTTAGGCTCAAGTAGGCCTTTAGTTTAAGTTAAGTTACAGGGCTTATAGAGGCAAATGAACTTTGCATAGGGTGTATAAACCTACTATATTCTCATACTTTTGAAAAACCCAAAGCTTATTTCTCTCTTCCTATTTATTACCTTACCTCACGCATATGCCTCGAGGGCAGGAAATGTCAGCTCAGGAGTAGCATTCTCAAATACGGCTCATATTGCAGCTTTAATCAATATCCTCCAATTTCGTGAAAGAGTTCCTTAATTTTCTCCGCGAGAGCATCGGTTTTGTCGTCGGTTTCCAAGATCATGATTTTACTGTGTTTAGTGATGAGTGACTCTTCGATTGTATTCGGTGAAGATGGCGCAAGGAGTGATATGTGGGATTTCTTGGTGCTGAATACAATGGCGATGAAGAATCTATTTCCTCTGCCGCTTTCATATTGCACTGTTTGTCACTCTGAATGGGTTATGACTCTAAGTGGTTTAGGGGAATAGGTTTGCGAGTTATGTATGTGTATGTGTATGTGATGAACATTGTGAAAGGACTGTGAAGGCGAGACATGTGATTAATATAATTTCAACACATGGACTCGTATTATTCTTATGTAGTATAAGGTATGCTTAGCCCTACTACACGATACCAATGACTAGCTAGTTAGATCATTACTGCATCATGCTGTCTATTCTCTGATTGCTTGTAAATACATGTACTGTGTACATAATGTTACAATCGTTGGAAACGTCTTGACAAAGAAAGCGAATGGTATACTAATCTACTCGAGTAGTCCTACCACCAAGTCTAAGAACTCAGGAGTTGGTAGTAGGTATAGTCCAAGGCGATATTACTTAATTATTGACACCAATTTTAAATATTATTCGTTTTGATAGCAAGGACTTCATACCAACCAATTCACTCATTTAGGGACTCGTATGACTGGATCATATGTCAAAAAAACTTTGGGAGCTCAAGAGGAGCTTCGGAACGAGATGCAGCCTCAAACTTTACTATTCATATTTACTCTCCCACAAAAGTATGGAACAGAAATGGCCAATCAAGATATGACCTGCAATATATTTTGGGTTAATCTGGGACAAGATATATGTGACTGGTATTGATCAAATGCTTCGGCTTCGGCTTACAATCACAAGATATCTATGATTCTAGTTTCTAGTTTCTAGTGGACTTTGTTTGAGTCGACATGTCAAATTCGGGTTATTTTTCAGGTAACAGAATTCCAACCAAGTGCTTAAAACTTACTTTTCTATTCTAGTCTTTCAAAGCTCAGAAACAACGAAACAACAAAACACCGCATTTACACCAAAAGTCGGAACCGATCGCAACAAAGTACCACGAACCAAAATCGAGCGCCAAATATCAAATATCATATTTCAAACGCAAGACTACAACATACCAGCATTTCGGAAACCAAAATGTCTTACAAACACGATGACCATGACGATATCAACGACAGAGGTAGATCATACCTGGCCGACGCACCAGACGACTGCGACATTTCCGATTCAGACACAGCTGTCGAAGAAAGTATCGAGCCTTCCGGTTCTGAATTCGGATTTCAACCACAGGCGGGTCCATCTCCTAAAGATGATAGTAAAAAAGTTCTATATTATCCTGAACTGAGGCGCTTTGATTCCGATGGTAATCTATCCATCGCATCCCTGGATCGGATCTTCATGACCATCAACGGCATGTTCTTTGAGACAAAACTTCCACATCCAAAGTTTACTCGAAAACATGCCAACGACCCTGACCTCACTCCAGAAGTGAGCGTCCCTCTCAAGTCCAATCTCATACTCACCGCCTTTCTCAAAACCACTCCCGTTATCGACAAACAAATCAGACGAAACTCGAAGGTTCGTTTGGTCGATTTTAGTAGATCGCCCAGCATCATTCTTCCACCCGGTGGCACATATGATGATCAAGTGGGCTTTCTCCTAGATGCAATGATCGATCTCTGGCATGGCTACGCATGGAAAGGTATGCGAGATAACTTAATCACTTTGAACGACGGGTGCATACAAGAGCGAACTTGGGCAGACGATCGGGAGATACCTGCCTTGATTGAGGATGTTGAGAAGCATTTCGGCGTGCAGATACGTCTGAGAAGAATTACTATGCCGGACCCTAAGAAGTCGCTGCTTGAGGATAGAGAAGAACAATCAAAGAACATATCACGTTTGGCAGAAGCGTCAAAGAAGAGATTTATCAGATTCTGATAATAGGGAGTGAGAAAGAATATTAATTTGGGATATAAAGAGCTTGATAGCATACGAGCTATCTTTATAACCTACATGTATTAGTATCTAAGGAATGAATCAAGCGTGATTTTACAACCTCGTGTGATACTTCGCGGTTCATATTGTCATGAAATCAGTATATTTATACGGTAAATTGCTTTCATGCCACTAAAAGTAAAATATGTTATTCTTGTGCCACGAAAATTGAATCCATTTTACTTTTATTCCACTTTGAATATATCCTTAAATGACCAGATTCTACTCTTCCACTATATTATACCCTCCTACCATAGATTATACCCTCCCACCGATCAGGGCCTTATCGCATGGTCAGCGTAGCATTAGCTATATGTAGATCAAATCGATTATGAATTTACTACTACTACTACCCTCCCACCATACATCCTACCCTCCTACCCTCCTACCATAGATTCTAACCTTTCACCATAGACTCCACCCTCCCACCATAAAGTCTATCCTTCTACTATATCTACTCTCCTAATATAGAATCTACTATAGAATCTAAGTGGCATAAGAGTAAAATCGGTACCTCGCAGACATTATCGCAGATAACGATGCAGACAGCGATATCGAGACAAAAAGTAACAAGCCAAGTAACGAGAATGATGTTGAGCAGCCCTTAGCTCAAGGGACAGTTTAAGTTTATCATAGAGAAATATTTTAGAAGACTATTTTGGTTTGGTAGTTGAATGGTTATTACTCTAGATCACTCAATACTATTATACTATTGAGGTCTTGAAATATTTATACCACTTGGTACTATAAGCTTATGCTAGGAATAGTCCCATATCAGTTCTCTCTCTCTTTCTTAAGCGAATATGCGATATCAGATGAGGGCTACCAATAATACCGTGGCATCGAGATATTTTGAATTAAAAATAACAGTCCAAGTCAAGTCAAAGGTATGAAGATTCAAAATACTGAGTCAGCTTGAAGTATTAACATCTTATAAGACATTCCAACCCTTCCTTCTCCATTCACTCGAAATGTCTTCTCAAACGTGAACCCCTCAAAGAAACAATCCTCCCAACTCCTCGCACTACTCTCATCCTTTCCCCTATTAGCTTTTCTCTCCCTATAACACTTCTTTGCCCTCGCCGACACAACATCATCCACTTGAGATCTCACACGCCCTTGCTTCGTAAACGCTGCTGAAAATTTCGTGACCAGCGGTATCAAACTCTGTAAATCACCTCTTATCTGCGCCCAAGCTTTCTCCTCGTTCAAATCATATCTCCAATCTTCATCTGCACTAGCTTCCAACTTTTTTAATTGACGCAGAAGATCTTCGGCATTTATCTTCGAGTCCCAATGTGTGATTCTTTGTTCTGCTTGGAGAAAATATTCATGCGCAAGATGATGAAAGTGATGGATTACTTCCAGGCGTTCCATATCTATACCCCATATTCGCTTTTTCTTGGAATCTTCGGTGGCACTGCGAGAGCGACGGACATCATGCAGAAATCCATCCAGGATATGTGTATCTGGTACTTTATTGACATCAACAGGAACAGGAGGGACTTCTTTCTCCCCTTCCTTTTGATTCGCTTCTTTAAATCTGTTGATGCGCTCAAAATTGAGGTTTAGATTTTCGCATATGCTTATTGCTTGTTGAGCATCATGCAAAAGTTCGCCGAGATCTGTTTGGAGAGTTTCGACCAATCGTCTTAGTCTTCGTGCCGTAAGCGCTCGTGTTTTTTGAGTCTCGTTCATGTGTGATGTGACGATTGTGGTATGAGCGAGCAAGCTAGGGCACCAAGGATAATCGCCCTCAAGACAAGCGATGACAGAGCCTGACCCCAAAAATGATGCCCAACAAGGTGAGTTGATCCATCTCCAAGAAGCGATTTCGAGACCTGGAATATGCCACAATATAATACATACAGCCGAGGATTTCAGCAATACGGAGTTTTGAAGACTAGTATCTAAGCGTATATTGTCTGTTTCCGATATAGCAATGCTCAGGGATGTCTCGAACTGTTTTATAAGATCGGGGACGCCCTCGGTATGTCCTATTAGCTTGAGTCTCAACTCGGCGTTGCCTTTTTCGAGTTCGGTGTACGCTCGACTCATGTCATACTTGTCCTTGAGTTGGGAGGCTCGCACGATTTCAGACGCTCCGATGATACTCTTGTGGGAGTGAGAAAGAAGGATGGGCAATGCTGAAATATTCATAGTGAGATTGAGTAGTCCGAAGGTGTTGTTGGCGGCTTCTAATGCATAGTCTTTGATTATGGAGTGTGGTATTTCGATACTTGCGTTTCGATGTGTAGGAGTATATCCGAATAGATTCTGTAGTGCTGCCCATAAAGTAGTAGTTGAGGAAATGATGTGGTTTAACGGAGTGATACGAAAGAAAGATGACTTGGTAATGTACGAGGCGGCGTTGGTAAGTCCAGTTAATGATATATTCCAATTCCAGGGCAATAACGAGCTGCACCATTGGACAATCCAATTCACGATACTTCCTCCAGGCAACTGCTCCATGAACCCCATGATTGCGGATATCACAACACCGTACAGGTACGCGAGGAACCACCCAACCACCAGAACTATCGCCGTCCGAAACAAAATTCGTCGCAGAATCGGAAAGAATTCTATTCTCCATGCTTCAAAAGGTATTTCTGACAACAAAGAGGCGATCGAGCTCATAACATACTTAATCAACCATGAAGTGTTCGAGACGGTGCCAGTTTTCGTCATAGTATCGACATCATCCCTATAGTCCTTCCATTCGGGTTCCTGCAGCTCAGCCTTAACACAAGACAATTCGCTATCTCCCACCACATTAATTGCTGCAGCTCTATAAGCCGTGCATAAAAAAATGAAGTCAAGAGTCCCTCGTGCTTAGCAAACTCCGACACTACGTTTAATTCTCGAAAACCATGGCTTGATTGACTGCGATTGTGGAAGAGTATATGATGGGCATTTGCATAGCGTTCCTCCCATAGGTCAACATTTGTACTGATATCTGCCACGATATCGGTCAAATTGCATTGCTTTGCGGTAATTCGAAAAAAGGTGATTGATCTCACATAATTTGCCGCCATATTTGATCGTTAAGCTAGAGAAGATTGTATCAATCTAACTACTGTACTGAAGTTTAAGAAGACGTATAAGATATATGCATCAATCGCTTGACTATTCTAATGTAACGGACGCCTGTTTGAGTAAATACAAGGTCAATTAGGTGATCAATCATCCCAATAATAGACTATTGTATCGTACTAGGCACCAGACAGAAAGTGGGCGTGATTGTATTAAGATGATACCGTCAAATTGTATATTTTTTTTCTTATGTTGTATAGAGAACAAAAGGAAGGGGATGAATGAAACTCAAAGCAGTGAGGAATCGCATACATGTTTACTAACAGAACAAAGAGGAAGAAACATTTAAAAGGGAGGTTTATCAAAGAAACAAATTAATACTAATGACTAATCAGTATATTGTGTACATTCAAGAATTTGAATTACTATTCAAGTTGCTTACTGACTTGAACGTATAAAGAGTGTAATATATCTAGTAGTATATATATCGAAAGAGTATATTACGACGAGTAGAGATATAAAACGAGAACATAAGAAAGAAAGCAGACTTTGACAAAGAAAAAGAATAAACAGACAATACCAAAACAATAGTATATAAAAAGAGCGATAGTAACAGATCTAATTTGCCTCGCCGCTTATATATAACATCGTGTTCAAATTTTGACAGCGTTACTACCTGATTAGCAATTCCCATGATGAGACGCCTTGCTGTAGTATCATTGATTGTTTTGATTATATTCGTTGTCCTGAAGATAATCTCGAGCACGCAAGAACAGAAAGTCTACTTATCAATCCGTTTTATGATCCGGATGCTCTTCACCACTACCACTAGCAATCACCTCAAGATCACCACTTCCATCCCGAGTTCTTCCCATCATAGCACCAACCTCTCTTTTCCTCTCTCCTCGCTTCAGTCTCCACCACAGAATTGTAGTCCAAACTACCAAAGCAATACACGTCCCAACCATAGCCCACATACCCTTTGTAAACTTCGGTGCTTCGGTTGCACTGTAAAATAGGAGACTCCACCATGCGTTCACAGCACCGCTACCACAATTCATACTCGCTATTACTATTGCCCTCAACGCATCGTTTTCGAATCTCATGGCTTCGTTCGCCCATGCAAAAAAGGTCGCTTGACAGGCATAGACACTGCCGGCCCAATAGTATGCTGCGAATATTGTTGATACGTTGGAAGTTGTGAGGATCATGGCGGAAGTGGCGATACCGGTGATGGCAATGAAGTAGGCTACGAGGTAGCGTTTGCCGTTGAGAAAATCGGTGAGGGTTGCCCAGAAGAGGGTAGATATGATACCGACGGCTGGAACACCTGTAGGATAATTGTTGAGTTGGGAAATGGTATAGTGGTTTGTGGATTTCATGTATAAGGAAAGCAGAAAATTTGAAGAAAAGGATTCGGTTTCTCCAGCAATGATCCATAGAATTACGAAACCATACCAGTACCATGATGTGAGGATGGTTTTGAGGAATGAGAGATTCCAGAGATGATTCTCGGATACTTCAGGAACGCGAGATATAGCAAGATCGCGCTCGGTTGGTGTGAGATAAAAAGCAGAGGTCGTGGTAGGAGTGTCTGGGAAAAGAATAAAACCGTAGAGAGCGATGGGAAGAGTAATAAGTCCATCAATTATGAAAAGCCAGCGCCAGCCACTCATCCCCTTTGCACCATTCAAAGACGAATGAATGCCAGTTTGAATGAAGCCTCCAAACATAGTGCCGGCCAATCCGGAGGCAGTGAAGATGCCACTACGCTTGCCGAGCTCGCGAGGAGTGTACCATGATCCGAGAATGTAATGGGTTCCAACAAATGTGGTGCTTTCTGCGAGACCTTGGAAGAAACGAATGACCATTATATCTCGAGGATGATGAGCTGCTGCAGTGGTCATGGTGAGACCACCCCACAAAACCATCATTGAAGGGAAGAAGATGCGAGGTTTGATGTAGTAGAGTGCCAGATTACTGGGAATTTGTCCGATAATATATCTGGTGTCTTATTAGTATATATAAGTACAAGACAACCGGAACCAAATTTCACGGTGAAAGTCTTGTCTGGTATAGCTCGCACTTATTGTATGATGTCCAGAAAGACAACGAAACACAGCACATACCCAACAGTAAATATGGTATTGATAAGATTATATTGATTTCCCACAAACCTCAGCTCTTCCTTCATTCCACTAACATACGCATTTGCCAGATTCGACCTATCTAGATAATTCGTAAAATATGCTAGACAGCAAAATGACAAGATGAAGAAATCTACAACCGTCAAAAAAGTCCCTTATACATGCCAAAAACGTTTGTGATAATTGAGTAAAGATTGACACTCACCTAGTTTCTGAACTAACTTCCTCTCTCCTGGATGCTCGTAGGGGTGGGAAATATACTCCTTTATACGTGACAGGGTCATGATCGAAGATTTCTTCGTGGGACTAATAGGGATAATCTGAGCCGAGAAACAAGAAGTTGAGCTCACGCCCAAGGATATTTATATATGTCACCGAGGAAGAAAGCCTCGGCTCGATATATCTACAATTTTTTCAGCGAGGATATATTCACCTGGTCTGGTAATCCGTGACTCCCCACAGGCAAGCAGCAACCCCACTTCCAGCGATAACGGTTCTATCAACGCATGGCGGGCGAGATACTGAAGATAAGAGTACACCTCGATGTGGTGATCAACTGCGATAGTAGATACTATACATAGATAGGAGGTAGAAGGTCTAGTGATATCAAGTAAGTACTTTGTATGTATTGATATTTCTAAACGATGGGAAGAGGAGAAAACCATTGTGCCCCACCCTGGTCCTGGTCCGCCATTTCCCGAGAATCACCCGGGTGTGAAGAAAATACTTGAGTAGTGATCTTTTAGCCCTTTTTTCCATACTTTCATGAGATACTGTTCTAGTTCATAGCTCCAAACCTTGGTAGAATATTCTTTTTTATAACATCATCTCCATCCTTTCTTGGAATTTAAACCTCTTCAATCTCCTCACTCCCCGTTCCCCGTTCCTTCCAAAATCTCTTCTATAATCTGTTCTGTGGTAGCCTTTCCCATCGAAAATAACACCGTCCGGTTTCTTTTTTCCTCGCAAGTTCTCTTCGGCAATGATCTCTGTGGTGGCCTCTCCCAGCGGAAGCAATACTGTCCAGCTTCCAATGCATTACGCATCAACCGCGGGCCCGTTCTCCAGATTGTGTCTCCATCCAAGGTCTTGCCCATCGGGTAATGAACATCATAGTCATGCGCTGTAGGTAAGTCCGGCCATGTAATTCGAGTAGGCGTCTTAATATATTGCTCCATGACGCCATTGGACTGTCGTTTCTCTACCCACCCATTCAAAAAGTTGCGAAACTTCAACACATCAGTGTCCAGCTCACGCTTGCGAGGCCATTCCGAGATACTCTGTACCATCTCGATATCTCGTTCCCGATGGGGGATATTGGCGAAGCTTGTGTCGTTTGTGATGAGTTCATATAGTGTGAACACAACACCTGTAATATCATCTCGGCCAATCAGCAATCCTTTCTTTCCGCATGCTGCCCAATCAAAGTCAAACAAAAGGATTTTCTGTGTATCGGGATCGATGAGTAAGTTGCGTGGCGCAATGTCTTGATGCATGATTCCCAGATCTAAGTTTAGGAAATCCACGAGCTGCGTGAGTTGCTGTATCCACTCAAATCGGAAAGGTACATTTGGGTTGACGAGAGTTCCACCTGGGATGTACTTTGTTGTGAATCCAATCACACGGGACTCCACGTCTTCAAGAACGACGGCATCAAATGGTACGATATTGGGATGTGATGGTAAAGTTTTGAGAATGTTCATTTCTTTCCAGGCCCTCTGTAAACGCTGAGGCTTTCCCCAAGCATTAAATTTGAAGGCAACCTTCACAGAGTTTTGACATTTATCTTTGTATGATGAGATGTCAAGACCTGGTCTAAGACGACTAAGCTCTTGAAGTTGAGAGTGCTTGATTGTACGACAACCGGCGAGTGATTTAACGATCGAGAAAGGAGGATGCGGAATAAACGGAGTATCATCATCCTTCAGATCTTTGGAGACTCCAGAAATTATTCCATCATCATCAACTTCGATCGCACGAATATCCGGCGATAAAGAATCGGCGAATCTTGACAGAACCGGAATCTCTTGATCCTCGTCAGGCGGAAAAAACTTTGCAGTGCCTTTGACTTTGATCATCCGCAGTTGATCCCAATCCCAGACATTGCAGTGACACCTAGTTTCTGGATCCTCTCTCGAACCAAAATAAATTTGATCCTCGGGAACGAATCTTTCTTGAGGGGAAATCATAGCTAAATAACACTTCCTGAAAGATGTCGTCGCAAGCTTGCTTTAAAATATAGGTGAACAAATATTGAAGAAAAACGCGTGGAAGTAGAAGATGCTTTGAGATGTCACAAGTTCAAAGTGAAGCTATTGCCAGAATCTATCTGCTTGGGGTATCTGTCAAGAAAAAGCAAGAAAAAGAAGGCATCTTGTGTTGAAAAGGAACTTATTAGCACGAATTAAATTTCACTTCGCCGAGTCACATAGATTCACTACTTTTGACTTCAAATTTTGATTTCTGATGATTCAAAAAACATGTGGCTATAGTTATCCCATGGACTACAAGTATGTAGTCAGATTCTCAGACTCACTCTTTGGTGCAAGATTAGTTTGTATGGGCAGATCGTTCTTTCTGGTTGCAAACGCACAAAACGCACAGGAGTAGCAAACGAGTGTTTGATCATACAAGCCATAACCTACTCAAATGTATCAACCCCGCCAAAACATCATTTGATATCGGTCTTATCACTAGTAAAACTCAGCTCCCACATATGAAATTTTCTTCAAGTATCATAGCCTCAACGTACATACAGAACAAAACACTGGGAATTGAGTTACAACCTATATCTGCGGTAAGCCAAGCACTTGTTTCTCCTCCTCTGTGCACCCCGTATTCATCACCCTGAGCACATCACCTCATCGTTTCCAGAACCATGGATTCATACGCTGAGGAGGCAACCCCGTTAGAACAACCCTCATACCATCAAGAAATCCAATACGATATATGAGTCGCCTAGTTAAAATCAGCATACCAGTTGTACCTGCCCACATTAATAGCATTGAACCAATACCAATCTGCAATCGACGCAACTTTTCCGTTGTTAAGAACCATTATTTCACAAATGTCTCATCATCAGTAAACACATACATACACCTACTCAGAACAGCTCATAAAAGCTCATGATAAAGATGAAATTAACTATCAACCAACTAACCTGTATACTCCCCGCCTCCATAGAAAGCTGCCTAATTTTCTCAACATCAATCTCCCATCCATACATTCCTCATCACTCAATTCCAACACGGTCTCTTCTAAAAGCTGTATGATCATTTCATCGGCCACCTCTTATAATTTCTCTCGATATTCTAGATCCATACCTTTATAGCCTCCCCCGCTCTCATATTTCTCGTAATCATATGGGAGAGGTAGAGCGTAGAGGTGAAGATTTGGGGTTTTGGTGTTGAGACGCAGTCGAGCGAAGAAGTTGCGTTCCCAAAGAAGTGTAATATATGATGGATTATCATTAATTCAATGATTCCTGTTGTTGATTCGATGTTATTATGATTTCGTATTCTCTTTTTTTCTCTTTCGAGGTTTGTTTTATTTCATGATTTTAGGTTTGTTTTACCTGGGCGGCCAGAAAATTTGATGAGGATGGAGGGATCGGTCATTTTGGTATAGATGAATGAACAGGTGGATGGTAGGTTAGTGATTGTTGGTTGGGAGTGAATTTGTGCAAAAGGAGATGTTAAAGAATTGGAGAATGAGCAGAAAGTAATGAGTATCGAGGATGTTGGGGATTATAAGCTAGACTAGCTAGGAATTGTCCCCAGCCAGCTATCAAAAGCAAATATGGAGAGAGCCTTGCAAAGCCTATCAGGAACGCCCCTTTATTGCTTCTCTCTTACACTGTCAATTGGCCAATGAATCCCAAGCGAGGTACATTTGATAATACAAACAATGTACTTGAGTATCAAATTGTATTTATTCAAAGTCTCCAGATTCAATATTCAAACGGACTAGACTTTAAGACCTACTTTCGTTATCAGCGCTGGACCAATGTAGTCAGCTCAGGTTTTTGTGAGAATATAATATGTGAATTCCCGGAGCTAACTACAATACCCAGATTGGAATCATCCCGCGATCTAACCGAATTCTTAGATCGGCACGTTCCAATCCAATACTTAGAGGTTCCGTACTGGGCCGGGCCATACTTTGTACAAAACTATCGCACAATGAAAACACATCTACCCAAGAAAAGTAGCAAGGAAGACTTGTCCAATATTATCCGGAGAAGTCAGATATTCTAGCAGGCCTAATATGCAGCCCGATCCAAAAGCAAATAGTACCCGAATCGCAAAGCCACCAGCCGCCTATTGCGGAATATGATAAGTAGTACGAGTAATGATAAACCTAGAAACTTTTCCAAATCAAGATATTCTTCAAATTAGGCAAAAGAAAGGCAATCCCAAAACAAGAACAAGAAACTAATATATAATGTTTTACCTTCCAGCCACATCTCCTCATTTTCTTGCTGAAAAAAACAAATACACAGCCACAAACAAAACACAAACACGCACGCAGCTGGTGCCACGACATTTCTGTTTCAAAAAAACGTGGAGAAATGCATTCGAAGACTCTTATCGGTCCATCTTATCTTACCAACTTCACGGGTTTTTGCCCTTTTCCTGTTTCTCATAGGTTGTATATATATGTAAACTATATAGTATACATTGTACCGAGTACATACTTGTCATGTAAATCACTTGATGCTACTCGTACATACTGTACTCCTCTTTATTGCATATATTTTGTACTCTTCCATGTTATTTCATGTCCGTTTCTACGAGTAGTATAAGATGAGTACAGAGTACAAGAGCTGTGTATAAAATATGGAGCGGTGGAAAAAGGAAAAGGAAAAGGAGCGGCGCTGGACTTGCTTGCATGTATAGCGGTAAAGTAAAAAGACGATGTGGGATTTTGATCTCGCATACTTCGGGGTTTGTAGAATAATAATGATGATGAATGATAATAATGCAATGGAAACGGTGAAAGTGCTGAAGCCTGAAAGTGCTGAGAAAGATTCAATAGTACAGGTAAACTATAATCATTTTTCAAGGAAGAGTCTTATTAGATGCATGTAAGCCTGATAAATATCAACCTCTCGACCAAAAGTTCGACGACACGATGCACGATGGAGATGATATATATAAATATATATGTGGGATGCATGAAGCAGCATTAGGGAAAGGAATCCTATTGGAAGACAAGAATTCTGTTGTGAATCCAAAGGTTTTTAGTTTTGAAGATATATGAATATTAGTGGATGATGAAATAATAGAGTGGTCCAGTAAACGAATGAAGGGGTAAATAAATTAGTCGTACTTTCGCCTTATTGAATGACAGGAGAATTGACTCCCCTTTTTATTAACCATCGTGCCACCAAACAGAACCCTCAGCCATCTCTAAACGAAGAGCCTAACTCCTCCCCCTTCCCTTGTAAATAATCATTCGCTCCACCCTATATGTGATCGACTCAGTTCTCCATATCTCCTCCAAGTAGCACTGCAGCACTGCAGCAGTTATTAGCATCCGAACCATCCCATCTCTCATCGGTATCGTGTACATACATGACCATGAAGTCATGACCCCATCTCATCCTCTCCATCTCTATCTAGCATTACCAATACACATACACATTCACACAATACATAATCTAAGCATATCCCGAGCGAGCTACAAATCCACGAAATTCTGCTGCTTCCTTTATTTCTTTCCTTCCACTTCGCCGACTTAGTGACTCAGTTCTACTCCTACTATACATACCCAAGAATTCCACTTAAGTTTCCCCGCCATCAGCTCTTCACCGCATCTTTTGGCGGTAAAGAGTGAATAGATTAAATCAGGGTATCTGCCTGCTTATTCTTTTCACAAGCCAAAAAAGAAACATTTCACTTTTTTTTTTTATAAATCTTTACCATACCATACCAAATCAAATATCTCAAAAGAAGCTGGTCTTCTCACGAAAACCAATCATTACAATAACACCCACCATACGTTGAAAGAAAGATGCCTCCTCGTATCACGGAAACCGTCACCATTATCAACAAATCGGGAAAAGTAGTGAGCACTGTAAGTTTTCCGGCGATCTTTGAATTTTTCCGAAGTTTTACCCCATTTCCCCTCTTCCTTTCGATGTTGTAATCGTGCTGTGTGCTGTGACTAACATCCACGATCATAGGGAAAACAACTCGTGAATATCTTCAAAGATGCTAAAGCCGCTTATAACGAAAAGAAAGCACAGTTGAAAGAAGAACACTTTTTACGAGAAGAAGCACGATCAAATAGAGTACACACAAGACTCAACGAAGCTCGATATGAAATTGAAGATGCACGAGGAGGAGGAGGAGGACCAGGAGATGATGCACAATCCTTAGCATCATCTAGACGATCTCACCGAACCCATCGTTCTCATCATGAACATTCATCACGTCCAGAACCAGCATTAGATTCTCGTCCTCCCCTCACCATCAACAATCATGAAGAATATCCCGATACGCAAAGTTTGGCCAGTGGCCGCTCCCACCGTTCCCATCGTTCACACACTCGAACGCGTCAGGAAATTAATTTCGATGATTTGGATGAGGAAGAAGATATGCAAAGTCTTGCCAGCAAACGCTCGCATCGCTCTCATCGATCGAAACGAAGTCGTTCGGTTCATGGCTCCAAAGCTCCCACTCAGTACGAGCCTGCGGAGACGCATTATGAGGATCCGGAAGAGGGGTTTCTTGATGATCCTCCCATGGCCATGTATCGTCAGCCGTTTGCCGAAACGGAATTGAGTCTCGTGAAGAGACGTCCGGATATGGAAGCGCCTCCTATGCCGGGACATCTCGTGAGGAGAGAAACGGCTCCTCCGAGCTATGCCAGTGGGCCACTGGTCCCACGCTCGAATCCTGTACCTGATGTTCACGATGAGAATATCGATATGAATCTAGCGTATGGAGATCTACCCCTTCATTCAGAATCCGACCACGAACCCGAATATGAGCAACAGTATACCCCACCCCAACAACTCCCCGAAGAGCTTGAAGAAACGATGAGTAAACTCGATAGTCTCCTCCTCGAAGCCCAATGTCTCCATCACACCGCCACAGGCATAATGTCGAATCTCCAAGCCAACCCCGAAGCCATGGCGGCCGTAGCCCTCACTCTCGCCGAGCTCTCCTCCCTCCTCACCAAAATGTCCCCCTCCATCATCCCCATGCTCAAAGCCAGTTCCCCCGCCATCTTCGCTCTCCTCGCCTCCCCTCAATTTCTCATCGCTGGCGGTGTCGCATTAGGCGTTACAGTCGTCATGTTCAACGGCTACAAAATCATCAAGAAACTACAATCGACACCGGAGAAGAAAGTCGAAGCTCCCATGGCCATGCAAGCTCTCCCTGCTACCCCCGGCTACCCCGAGACTCCCGGATTCATGGAGCCCCAAGACATCCACCATGAATACGAAGAAGCGATGCCGTACGAAGCGTACGAGGAAGAATTAACCAGCATCGATATCTGGCGACGGGGTATCGCCGACGCGGAATTACAAAGTGTCGCGACGAGCGTCGATGGTGAATACATAACCCCCACCGCTGCCCGACAGAAGGAGGGTCGAAACGCAGAGATGATTCGGCAAAGGGCTGCTGAGGAAAGAATCGACGAAGACGAAGATGATGTGGAAGAGACGAGGAGTATTCTAAGTCGATTGACTAGTAAATCCCGACGATCGAAAACCCTTCCTATTCGAAAGAGTTCCCAATATGAACCTTCCATTTCCGTCAAGGAAAAAGATGATGATGTGGAATCGGTACGGAGCAAGATGTCTAAATCGATGAAATCCAAGAGTCACAAAACAAGTCGGTCGAAAATAGATGATGATATGTCTTCGGTTATATCTGGAAAAGAAGAAAAAGAAAAAGAACCAAAGGAAAAGAAAAAGAAGACGCCGTTGAGTATTTTTAGGAGTAAGACGGAGAAGAGTAATAGTTTGAAGGGGAAGGAGAAGGAGGGGAAGAAGATGGGTCATCATCCGCTTTTGTTGGAGATTTAGATTGGCTTGGTGGTTTTTCCTTATCTCTCTTTCACTCACTAGTACTCTTTTCTCCGTAAGATATTGCTTGGGGTTTAGTTCTCGACTTTCTTTTAAGTTCCTCTTATATTGATGGCATTCTTTCTTGATTTGGCAGTTGACAGGCACTAGCACTATCATTGAATTGAATTGGCGATTTTCCTTTTCTCTCTCTTTTCTTTTGATATCTCTTCTCATCTCTTCTCTTCTCTTCTTTTTTCACATCTCTCTCTTCTCTCACATCCGGGAGCGGATAAAGAACGCGGAGGAATTTTATGATTTATGCTATATGCTCTATGCTCTATGCTTTATGCTTCATTCAAGTGGGATATCACTGGACGGAGGCTACTATGAAATTATGTATATACGAACTCAGATACAGACACAGATATGAACACAGATACATACACAGATACACACACAGATACACACATAGATAGTAACGACTAACTCAATACTAAATACCAAATACCAAATACTACATATCAAATATCAAATATCAAATACCAAATTGGAAATACGCATTTGAGAAGTTGAGATACGAATTTTTGAAGCAAGAATGGGAAATGGGAAATGGGAAAATGATATACTCGTATAAATACAATACAAAGACAAAAGCAAATACTACATTCATTCATTTATTTATTCTTATTCTCATTTCTCATTCTCATTCTCATTCTCATTCAATCCTTCACCTCACTTTACTCTTTCTTCCTTGTACATCTATATCTCCATCTCCATCTACATCTACATGCACCAGCATAATTATACAATCTCCTCTCCTCTCCTTCCCACTCCCCTCCTAAGCTCTAACAAATCCTTATACTCTCCTACTCCTATCTATTTCCCATCTCCCATCTCCCATCTCCCATTTCCCATTTCCCATTTCCCATATCCCATATCCCATATCCCCAATCTCCCAATCCACCTTAGGTAAGATAACTAAGATAAAATCTTACTCTTATCCTTAAATCCATACTATAACTATACTATAACTATACTACTACTACTACTACTACTACTATATATCTTCATAAAAGTAATACTAGTACTCGAGTAGGTATTAATATCTCTTTAATATACTCAAATACTAATATTAGCAAATATAACATATATTACTAGTATAATAAATAACTTTAATCGCCTCCTTCTCCTTCTCCTTCTCTATATTTTGCTTCTCGTATCTCTTTCAAAATCACAAGCTGAATCTCAATCCCAATCCTTGTTCCTCATTTCTATTTTCTCTTTTGTTCTCTATCCCACTCTCTATTCTCAATTCTTACACCCTACTTCCTATTCCCTACTCCCTACTCCCTACTCCCTAGCCCTACTCCCTTCCCAATCCCTCTTCTTACTCCCTACTCCGAGTCCCTCAACCCTCTATATGCATCCATCCATCCATCCTCCCTCTCCCTCCACTTTCCCCTCCCTCTCCCCTCCTCTTCCCCTCTCCTCCTCCTCCTCCTCCCATCCTCCCTTTTCCTCTCTACTCAAATCCACAAATTCTCAACTGCTAAAGTACTATATTATAAGTTAATCCAACAACTAAACCAAATATAACCAAATCAAACCCTAATCAAATCCCAATACAATCAAACCAAACCAAATCAAATCAAATCCCAATATATACAGTACATTATAGTGCAATACAGTATAACCTTGATATAACTAACTAACTAACTAACTATCTATCTATCTATCTAACTAGTCAGCAGCCTCTTTGTATCGTTTCATTTCATTTCATTTCATTTTACCTCACTGGTATATCATTTCACTTCACTTCACCTCATTTCACCTCAATAGTATATCAATCATACCATAGCATATCATATCATAATACATCATAACGTTCTGATTCAATTCAAATCAATTCAATGTCTCATCCTATCTCATCCTATCTCATCTCATCCCCTTTACATCCTATCCTTTACATCCTATCCTCTCCTATCCTATCCTATTCTTCATATCCTCTCCTATTTCATCCTACACATCCCATCATATCCTATCCAATCCAATCCATAGACACCACAACACCACAACACCATTTCCACCCTCTCTCTCCCTCTCCATCCTCTCCATACATATTCATCAACATCAAACATCAACATCAACATCAATCATATACACTAATCTTGTCCTGTCTCATCTCATCCCATCCGCCATCTCCCATCCCCCAAATACCATCCTCCAACTCAATCCATTCCATATACACCCAACCATCCCCCCTCCAACTCCCCTCCCCTCCAAACCATCCCTGCAAACCATCCATCCACCCACTCAATCCAACACCCAGAAAATGCAACAAATCATTCCGCGTTCAAATTCATTCATTCAAATCATTCAAATCAATCCAATCCAGTTCAATCCAATCCAGCCCACCCAACTCAACCAGTCAACTCAATTCCTCCCTCTTCCCCTCCTTTCATTCGATTCGACTTCATCTCATCTCATATTGCATTCATTCATTCATTCATTCGCCCACCCATCCAACTTATTCGATATTCACTATCGCCTTATTCACCCTCTCTATCCTCATCCCGAACAAACGAACATAAACGAGTACGGTGAAAGTCATCTTTTCTTGACCACCACTTATCTATCCCACTTATCCATCATATATCATTCTGGTACTTATTTTGTTCTCGATAAGGTATCGTGTCGTGTCGTGACGTGATGTGACGTGACGTGATATACTTTTTGACTCAGCCTTTCGCTACGTTACGTTCCATACGATAGTATCATGATATGAGTATGGTATGATTCGGATGTCCTTCCTTTGACCTTCGCTTTCACTTCTCAATTCCAAGGTTGAGGTAAGGTGCCTGCGACGTATTCGTCCACTTCAGACATCCTCGGTCAATATCCCCCGGTTCATCGCGATCGAATCGAACAAGGACCTTGAAATATCCAACCACGATCTCAAATTTGTGTTCCTCCATCAAATTCCCTTTAAAATGCATAATTCATTTCACCCTTGACATCCTTTCATTCAATAACCATCTTTCTCTGTCCCCCAACCATTGTCCACCCCAACGCTCTCAAAGCATTTTCATCTTTCGCCCTAATGATCGTGCAGGCTGGTAACATCGGATTGGTTGGGTCAACATGTGATGCATCTTTTGCCGCTTGTTCTATGGCGTCCATTTCATCCTGACAGTCTCGTTGATCTAGTGGACAAACTACTATTGGTTGACGGTGGGTGATATCGCGAGCACCGGAGAGATGAGCCTGGGTTGTATTAGTTAGGGGTCGAATGAGATAATTGAAAAAGGTAGGATTTGTGGGTAGTCAGGGCATATATATATATACCTTTATAACGAGAAAAAACTCAATCTTATACAAAGTCCCTGTCGTCGTAAACGAACTAACCAAATGCATTGGAAAAGCTGATTTTCCCCTCCTTACAATTCCTTCCGAATCCCTCAATTCCTTCGATGGATACACCAATCCCAAGGTTGAAAAATATCCCGCCTCTGGTAATCTCACTCCCACCGTTTGGGTTTGTTTAGCTATTCGATTGATCTTCTTCGTAGGTTCATCTCCTTCGGGGTTATATGTGATTTCCTCTTCTATACCAATTGTAATCTTTTGTATGACTACTTTTGTAGCTTTCTTTAACCAAATTGGATTGGGTGATAATTTGATATAAACACTGACTGGATCCGAAGGGCCAAATGACCATCGAGGTATCGATATGCCCAAAGTAACAAGATGATCTGTATTCTTCTCTGCTGATTCCGGTCGATTGTACATGCCAAATGTCGAAAGAGTATCATATCTTTGAATTGGAACTGGAAAGGCGAATTTCTTCTGATCCTGTCCCTGTTGAACCGTAACCACCAACTCATAATAAGTTTCCGCCGTGCGACTAGGTAATTGCAGACTTGCTGGTGGGATCCTTCGATTCGATTCCTCTCCTCCTCGTCCAAATGGTATGAATAATACGAAAGGGAGATCCATCAAAACCACACTTTCGCTTTCCCTCCCCGCCGTACATCGAAACAATAATAACTCCTTCCCAACCACATCCGTCGTTTCTCGTCTCGGTGTCCCCAGATGTTTCTTAGCAATCGATTCCGCAGATGGATGCACCGTCTCTCGTCGCTGTAAACATATTCGCACCAGCGATATCGCTATCGGCGCAGAAATACCAGTGAGGGGTCGAATCTCTACTTTACCCTCTATCCTAGGCTATATTCCTTGATATTAACACCAAACCCTACCATAAATTCGCAATTGCAAAATGGAGACAAAAAGAAAGGTGAGAGCCTACAAGCGTAGCAGAAATTCCAGGGTATCCAACTAGAAAATTACTATTGGGCGGTCCGGAGACTCGGACAAAGGCAGACATATCGTACACACTCTATGTTCACTGGCGCCACCGCGCGGGTTTGCGCCAAATGGAAAACAATGTTGTTGAGTAGTGTGAATGAATTGGAAGTTCGAGTCTTAGAAGTAGTTATAGTGTAGGTATGTATGTACGTATACAGTAAGACTGTTTGGGCGAATTGTAGGGTTGAGTTGTTGGTGATATAGCTTTCGTCGTCACCATATAAGCAAGGCTCAGCTCGTTGGGGGGGGTGGGGGTTGTATTTTTCGTGGATAAGAGGTGAGAGGTGAGAGTAAGTGGTTTTGATTGTGAGATTCGTTTAGTGTGTAACAAATAAGAGAAGGTCTGGATCCCTCGGTTCGTTCTTTGGTGGGAGGTCGATTTATTTTTGTTTTGAATATACGTAAGTTGGAGAGATAGAGAGAGACAGAGAGATGGAGAGATGTTTTTAATAGCTGTTAGAATAATGAGTAAAGGAGAAAATTCTTGTATATTCTGGATACTGGTAGATATTCTGAAAGGAATAGTTTTGTAATTAGAATTGATTATAGTTATGGGTAGGTAGATGGGTTTTAAGTTGTAAGGGTTAAGGTACAAATAGAATGAAATGATGGGTTGATGCATTCGTCTAGACTTTTCATTTCCACGCAGATGATGAAATTCAGGAATAAGGATTAGATCAAAGCAACAACAATAGGAAGAAGTTTCAATATATGCCGGTCTAATGATAAGAGAACTATAGTAAGAATGTTGGTTTTTGAATACCTTTCTATATACTCAAGAGTAGATATCAATAATAGAATAATAAATATCTCCCTCAATTCACTCAAATCACAATAAAGCTTCAAGCTTCATCAACATCAAGCTTCTTTCTATTCTGAAGATCCGGATCCACAACAATGACCCAGCCTTCCTCCACAAATGTCACCCTTTTTTAAATCCCACCCGCTTATCCCGCCTTCTCACAACCAGCTAGCCAATTACAACCAACCAAAGCAGCAAGCAGCCTTGTTTATTCAGCCTTACACTCTTTCAAAAAGTTATCTTCCAGCCTTCCTCTCAGAATTGATTACACTTACTATAACATCCATCTTCCCAAATAAAATCATAACATATACAACACCAAAGATAAAAATACAAAACGAAATACCAGGTACAAACATCATCATTATGTCTGTCACTCTACATACCACATTAGGAGATATTAAAATCGAGATTTTCTGTGAAGCTGTACCTAAGACTGCCGAGGTAAATAAATCTATCTTTTTCCATTTCCATTTCCAGTTCCTCATCACCTAGCTTCTTTTCTCTTCTCTTCTCTTCTTCCCCGTTCCATTCCATTCTATCTATATCTATATCTATATCTATATCTATATCTACATCCCACAAACCCCAACCCCCCAATCTAACTCCCCTCCCACACAGAACTTCCTCGCCCTCTGCTCCTCCCACTACTACGACCTCAGTCCCATCCACCGACTCATCCCATCCTTCATGTTCCAAACCGGGTCCCCCTCCTCCCTGAACCCCCATCTCTCTCCTCCATACCCCAAATCCGGCACTTCTATCTGGGGCACTCCCTTCGCCGACGAAATCCGACCTACTCTGCGCCATCACACGCGGGGCATCGTTTCTATGGCCAATAAAGGACCTGGCACAAATGGATCTCAATTTTTTATATTGTTTGCGCCGGCGCCGCATTTGGATGGGGTGAATAGTGTTTTTGGTCATGTGGTGGGCGAGGAGAGTATGAGGGTTTTGGGGGAGTTGGAGAGGGTGGAGACGGATGGGAAGGGGAGGCCGAGGGACGGGAAGGGGGTGAGGATTGAGGGGGTGACGGTTCATGCTAATCCTTTGGCGGGGTGAAGGGTGGGGTGGGGTGTGAGAGAGTTTGTTTTTATGAGGGATTAGATGAGAGTGAAGATTTTGGGGGCCTATATGGTTTGAGGGAGGGAAGGGAAAGATAGGGAGAGGGGTTATACGTTGTGGAATGCATACCTGATGTATACGTGGGGACATGGGGAGGTGGAGGTGGAGGTGGAGGTCTAGGGGAATAATGCGGATTGAGGGGTTGATGGTTCATGCTAATCCGCTGGCGGGGTAAAGTGAAATGTTATGGGAAAGTTTTGAAGGGATGGAAGAGATGAGAATAAAAGTGAAGATACCCGGATGGAGATAATATGGCGGATGGGACGGGAGGGAAAGATAGGGTAATAGATTGATTACATGTGAACGGAAAATAGAAGTGATGAGTCTCTAAATCGTGGGGGAAACATAGATGTAGAGGTTTAGGCTTGTCTCGTCTGACTAGCTAGTCTGACATATCAGCTCAGATATCCGCAGACAACACAACATATACGATCCAAATCCAATATACAATCCAGATGCAGATGCAGATACAGCGACCCTTCATTCTAAACACACTTTGTACACACTTTGTATACCTACACTTTGTACATTCGAATATATTCGAGTATAGAAATCCACAATTCAAATCAACTCAATTCAACTCAACTCAACATTGCTTTTTGGCCTGGGCCTGGGCCTGGGCCTGACCCTGGAAAGGACAGGAAGATGATAAGTGTGAAAAGTGTGATGAGAGTAGGTAAGTAAGACTAATCGATATATAAATTTGTATACGAGTATATATACATAAACTCCAAAGGATTTATATTTTATATTTATATACTCGAGTACATATTTGTGCATATATATGAACTCAAATACTCGAACACCGATTGAATAAAACACACTTTGTGCCATGCAATACAAGTAAATAACCTTACTTACTGAGTATATCTATCTACTCGTATACTTGAGTAAGTAATATCCATGTCATTTAGGTACATAGGTACATAGGTATGTATTCATTCATTCGCTAATTCATTCGCTAATTCGCCAAATAAATATCGCCCCTTAATCAATACTATATGATGTCCATTTCCTGCCGAATTCTAGGAGTACTTAACCTAACCTAGCCTAACACAGTATTCTAGCAGATTGATGATTGAATGGTCGCTTGCAAGTTGCATTATGAATGATCTCCTCAATCACAAAAAAACGAGTTTAAAATTTATACCAAGCTCGTCATGTGTAATGCAATACCAATACAATACAATTATCCATTCATTCATTCATTCATACGCCCATACCCAAACCAATAACCTCGAAAATTATCGGATTGCCTTCAACTGCCAACCAAGCAATACCTGCAAGACAATAGTATTAGTTAACAATTCACATATACATATAAACATTTTCCTACAGACTACTTACCACTATAAACGACGAGTTTAGTAACAACTTCAACATCATACCTCACACGAGGTTTCTCTAGTCTCGAAAACATTTCTGTTTCATCTAGTTCGTTTTCTTGTCCTACTGTGATTTCATCCTCTTCAGCATTGTCTCCCTCTACGCCTGGAGTTGATACTCCTGGAGTATACATTACGTGGCCTGCGCCCATCATTTGTTCGTAGGAGCCTACTCTTGATTGTGCTGGGGTTGGTAATTCCATACCTCCATGCATCGGTGACATGCCGGATGTTATGGCGCCATCTACGCTTGATGACTTGGATGTGAAATAATCCTTTGCTTCTTTAGTTGTATTTTGACGTGGACTCAATCCCTCGAAGACGTCTGTGAGACTGTCTCTTCGTCTCTTCTCTCGATAAGCGAGAGTTTCGTATGCATCGGCCGCCGATTGAGGTCCAACAGATACAGCACGGCCCCGACCAGCATGTCGTATGGATGAAAGCAAACTTGGCAAGTCGGACACCGATGGCATAACATTATCGACTTTCAGTCGTGATGGAATGTTGTGATATTCCGAAGCAGGCATGAAAAACTTTCGGGGTAAGATTAAACCTGTGTTTTCGAAGGCTCGGAAAATATGTGGAAGGTATTTCAACAATGCCGGCTTCATAAACTCTCTCCAGGCAAAGATCACCAATACCCCGATAACAACTCGCAGTATTACAACGGTCCAACCCATGTGTTTCAAGTCGAATGGAACTGTCGCTGGAACTGGGACATTCCAAGCCCAACCACCGGAAGCATAATGCCAACCTCCAAGTTCAACCCCTATCATGACCGCTGCAAATGCGACACTGTCGTCGAAACATGGGCAATCATCAGCTGGCTCTGGATGAACTCTTATCAGAAGAATAATGGCAATGGCAATGGTTACAGGAGCCTTCCATGTGCTGCTGTGTAGGTAATTGTCAATCGCTGAGCCATATACGCACTCAACGACAGAAATGAGTGCTCCTAGGATACTCCCAACAATTACATCCACAAAACCATGCATTCCGCAGTAAAGTCGCCCGAGTATAATAGAGAAAGCGTAAGAATAACTAGCAATTTCCAAAGCGAGTTTCGTTGTAGGAAGAAGTTGACATTCTGGAGAATGAAGAGTGAAAAGAGCATATACAGCCACCGATACAGCATTGGCAGAATGTGTCGATGGAAATCCATATTCGAGTGCAGCCGAGCCCGACATAGTGATGCGATGTAGAGGTGGAGATAATGGTCGAGGTAGCGAGAACATATCCTTAATAAAGCCCGTCAAAAAGACTCCTGTTGCCAGTATATGAACCATTCTGAAGCTCTGTCAGCCAGTGTTTGCGATAAATAGGCAAAAAACCATTACCCTCTCCCTAAAGATGTGTGCCCGCACCAGAACAGAATTGGAAGAACTATCATGAAGAAGGTATGCGTCCCAAGATTTGCCGTGACGGCAAAATAAGTGTCCAGTGCTGGAGATCGCATCTTATTCTGCATCCAAGCTAAGTATGGTGTCTCCCATCGGACGAAGGGCAATAGAGCCTGTCGCATATTGTATCGCCATGGTGGAAGTTTGCGCTTGTCTGCGAAGTTGCCATCAGTACAGTTTTAGTGAGCAATTGCGATATGCGCTGATAGAACCTCCTCTAAGACTCGAGGAGAGGATGCATCTTCGAGCAATCTGCTGAATCGCTGAATGTATTGTATTGCGCAACGAATGTCTCGATAGCAAGATAACGAATAAAGTAAAGGAACATTGCGCGCAGGAATAATCCTATAATCACTATACTCACAGTGATCTAAACTTTTCAAGCCTGCATCAATAACATCTGTGGGAGCAGTAACTGAAATCGATGGCGGTTGCACATTATTATTCGATTTTTCAAGCTCTAGGCCATCGCCATTTGGAGTCGGACACATGGATGCATTCGTTGAAGCAGCATCTATATATATGTGCCCGTCTGAGATTAGAAGTTTTATAGAGGTAAGAGTTGTGATATCTGATAAAGAACGAAATATAGGAAATGGAGGGGAAATCCCGAGAAAGAAAAAAGGAGCGACAGAATCTTAATTCTTGATGAGATGAGGGTTATTTTGGTGTACTCGAAGTAGTTATAAAACACCTTTCCCTTGAAAAAAAAGGTTAATCATTAATAAGGATTTGATTTCTTGGATTTGATTTAACTTTGATTGATTGATTGATTGATCGATAGATAGATCTTCCCTCCAACGGGTCCAACCTTGGTTGCTTGGGACTTCTTATCGCTCTGTTTGGATCTTATCAACTTGCTACAAATTAAAGCGAGGCCTTATCCATCCTCTTCACCAGCCACAATATGCTACTTTCCAAGGTTTATGCCACAACTTCTCCCTATATTATAAGCCACACTAAATACATCAGCCACACTTATTCTCTATAGGGTTGCTGGAGTAACCACTTCTATCCATGTAAATGTAAATAACTCTCACAACTCGAGTTATCGGTAACTTCCTACCAAGCTAATATCTAATATCTATCTATCACCAACCTTATAGGGAAGCTTTTTGAAGACTTTCTTCAATTCTCGATATTCATTCTATTCATTCCATTCATAAAAGCCACAACTTTTATCCTCAATTCAAAGTGTTAATCTATCATCAAAAGATTTTGCTTTTGTAATACTTAATTCCGGATCGTTGTCTTAAAAAGAAGAAAAGGGTTCTCATCATTGGAAAGTCATTCATTGACTCGAATTCACTGTACAACGTCGTCTCAAAATACCACTATAACACTTCAACTTTCAAGCAACAACCACAAAATAATGGCTACCCAATATCAATCGAATCAATACTCGAGGCGTGAAAGTGTATCCGAAAAATACGACGCAACTCCACGAAGGAAAACTACTCAACGTCGCGAACAAAGTCAAAGATCCAGTGACGGAACTGTTAGCACAATGATGAGCAATGCCTCGACGGGAAGAGAATCAGCGGCTACGCACACGACGGAAGGTCCTGCATATTCAAAAAAGATTGTCGTGGTTGGTGATGGTGGATGTGGGAAAACTTGTCTTTTGATAAGTTATAGTCAAGGATATTTCCCAGAGGTATGATGATGGCCAGCCTGCTGAGGGTTGATAAATAAATGGCTAATCATTCTCTAGAAATATGTTCCAACTGTATTCGAAAATTATATTACCTACCCAACACATCAAAAGACAGGCAAAACACTCGAGTTGGCGTTGTGGGATACTGCAGGACAAGAGGAATATGATCGACTTCGTCCGCTATCATACCCAGAAACCGATTTGTTGTTTGTTTGTTTCGCCATCGACTGCCCTAATTCCCTCGAAAACGTTATGGACAAGGTAAGATTAGAAAGAAGATATGGGATCAAGGTTATCATACTAATTGACTTTATAGTGGTATCCCGAAGTCCTACATTTTTGCCCATACACACCCCTTATTCTCGTCGGTTTAAAATCTGATCTAAGAACGAAACGTACCTGTATCGATCTCCTCAAAACCCAAGGTCTCACACCCGTTACCAGCGAACAAGGAATGGCCGTTGCCAGAAAGATGGGAGCCCGCTATATGGAGTGTAGTAGTAAAGAGATGACCGGTGTGGAGGAAATCTTTACCGAAGCCATCAACACAGTTGTCGTCAACGACCGAAGCAACCAACAAACCACATCATCTCACGGTCCACCCGGTACATCAGGTTCACAGGGTGCAGTTATTCCGAAAAAGAAGAAGCGCAGTTGTCGATTCTTGTAATCAACCAACTATCTAGCATCACCATTACGCATCCCAACAAAGTACGACATGAGCATGATATTTTGAAACGACCTACGAACTGCATAACGAGGAGTGTATAATTGTGAAAATCTGCAACCATTGGGCAGATTTTAGGAAATTGAGCATAGCATTGATTAGCCTTGCTGCAGGGTCGTTGACCTTTTTATTTTTCCTACTTCTTTTCGCACGCACTCTCATACCGCTGGAGCTGGACTGGACTGGACTTTCTCCGGTAATTTTCTTACTTTGCTTTTGATTTGCGGGTTTTTTTTTGGGACTTTCTTGTGAATCAATTGGGGAATTAGGGAACTGTGAACACAAACTGATTATGAGCGAGCGAGTTCGACTCTTTCTTATGTAAATGACACTTTGTTGGTAGACAATGCATATCATACTTTTAACGAATACATAATCTTTGGTCTCTTTTGTTTCTTCTTTCTGTCATGTATGTTGTGAATTGCGTGCATATTGTGAGAAAGTATGAAATGTAAAATGGAAATCAGGGTATCGTACTCCAGTCCAGAACTCCTCCCATACCATACCGGGTTCCCTCATCCTGATAGATGTATGTACTCAGTATCCATGTATCATGTATTCATCAGTCCTCACATCCCTCCCCTCCTATCCTGTCCCATGCCCTTCCACCTCTCACCATGCACCTCAATCCTCAATCCTCAATCCTCAATCACAGCCACTCTCACTACTCTCACTACTCCCACCACACCCACCACTCCTAAAACCGCGCATCATGTCCCATAATAGTTTCCTCCTCCTCCTCTCCCTCATAAACTTCTCTTCTTCCAGGTTTAGATGGCGATGCCTCGGTTTCTGGGGCTTGAGTTTGTGTTTGGGTTTGAGCTGGGGCTGGAACTTGCATATCGTCTGAGGGATGGGGTGAGGATTCGTCTTTGGCCATTACATTTTCGAATTGTGACCAGAGGGCTTCGACGGAGGAAAATTCATTGCCGACCTATGGGGGGGGAGGGAGTTAGTGGGGGAGAAGAGGTGGGGGGAGAGAGGAGAGGAGGGGAATGGGAAAGAGGGTGGGAACTGGAGGTAAAGAGAGAGGGGAGGGAACGGGGAAGACAAACAGCAATAACTCCTTCTAGGGAACGATTCAATTTATTGATACTCGATAGGACGTGTTCGAAACTCTGCAGATAGATAGAGGTTATTAATTAGTACTTTGTTGATGTATTTATCTATAAATATATTGTATGTATAGTGTATGGAAATAAGAAGCTCGCAGATGAAAGAGGGAAAGGGGAGAAAAAATAGACTTACAATCGCTATTTCCCCAAGTAAAATACCGCGCTGCTGTTCGAAATAGGATTTTTCGGGGGGGTGAGAGTGCGAGTGGGAGTGGGAAGTGTTGGGGGGGCGGGTGTTTGTGGACATCTTTTGGAGGGGAGGAGGGGGTGAATTGTGAGGTTGGGGAAGGGTTAGAGAAAGAGGGAGGGGAGATGTGTTTATGGTTGTGGTGTGGTGTGGTGTGGTGGTTTTGTGCGTATATGGTTATGGTGGGGGGTAAAATTCGGGATTTGGATTTGGAGGGGGGAGAGAGGTGGTGGGGTAGGATTGGGGATTAAGGGGGTGGAATTAGCGAGCTGGAGTTAGGGTGAAGTGTGGTTTTTGAAGAATGAACCAAGATTCTTTTCAACAACACACCACATTACTCGAGTACACTGACTGGGTTTGGTACCTCGTTGCATTATGAACCGAATGATATTGGTACCGGGAGTTTGAATTTTATGACTCTCTGGGGAACATACAATTTGCAGACCGGTACATCCCCAGCTCATCATACTGGAACTTCTAGAAGTCTAGTTGTTACCTAGTAAGTTTGGTGGATTTTGCCTTTCATGTACGCTTTGCGTTTCGTAGCGTTTTTCTGATATGCGTTTACTCATAGAGTATTGCCTACCGGTATAAGTTTACTCGAGTACAGCAGACTTTGAAGATCTCTTTCGTTGTATTCTATCTACGTTTGGGATATCATTGCTTGCTTGTTGTTCATCGATAGCATGTATGCATCGCTTTGTTGTCTGTGATGTGCTGTGGTGTTTGGGTTTTAGTAGTGTTGGTACTTATTATACTTTATCCCCAGTCTTCAGAAGGCACATTGTGATGTAAATATATATAGATAGATCAAGTAGATCCACGAGTATAGCATCAATGTTTCATATGGTTCTTGTCATCAAGTCCTAGGTATCATCATTTTAGTCTACTCGTATGTGTAGCACAGTTTTACTAATTACGAGTCGGAACACGGGCATATATGATCAAGTATGCGATTCATTTGTTAATTACTTGGAGTTGATATCAAGATTATTCTATTAGATGCGTTTTCATTTATGTGGTTCACATGTAATGGGAAGTTCTGAAAAGAGTTAATTATATTTAGAATCAAAAATCTCTTATCGTCGGAATACTGAAAACCCTGGATTCAGAAGATTATTGGTTTATGAAAGGCGTTTGATAACAAACCCGAAAGCATCAAAAAAGGTCCCCCCTCCCCCTCCCCCTCTACTCCACGATCAAATCATATGTATCAAAAGCAGTGAGTGGCTCATGGCTCAATAGCTTGGATACGCACGCATTTCACGACCATAATGCCTAGAGAATTTGTAAGAGCTGCATTGTTGCAGTGCTACATCTCATACATTCCCTCTTAGCAAAACTCTTCTTTGTAGATACAAGACCATTCTCGGATGAGTATAGTGCCTAAGAAGTACTTGTCAGCTATCCGAACCTATTTGTATTAGTAGTCAAGCGGACCCACCTACATGCATGCACGTTGCCAGTACTCAAGTAGCCTCTTCGTTAACCTTTTCAAAATACTTGGTCAGGTCTTTCATTGGGTTACCATTCTCCAATCTCAATGAACCGTGGCGGGCTATCTGGATTACATATCCCATGTTGACCAAGAGCTCAAGTCTCACGTTGTCCGGAAAATCCCTCGGATTTGTTTCGAATAATGAAGGATCCATCTCCCATGTCAGCATATCGAGGAAGAATTTCCGAAGTAAGCTATCTTTGTTTGTGTGCTTCCAAACATATGACACCCAGGGAGTTGCAATATAACCACTAGCCTCCTTGAACTCGTAGTATCTCTTGATGCACTCGTTCTTCAGAGCTGGTATGCGAGACCAATCGGCAAATACGTGAAGTTTCAAAAGGTTTGCCATACGATGTGCACAGAACATGGCAAATTTCTCCTTTTTCTTTTCGTCGGTAGTTTTGCTCTCCGTCTCGAACTTGATAAGATCTTTGTCGTTTGTTTCGTCAACATTGTCAACTTTTTCCGAATCGACGTCTTCAACGGCTTCTCCTGTCTCCGCTGCCCATTGAACAGTCTCCTCGTCAACACTAGCGAGCTTCTGCTTGTAAAGCCAAACCCAAAATAGCTTGAAAGTACCAACTTCAGTTTTGGGAAGATCTATGGAGGCAGGACCAATTTCTTCTGTACAATCCTTCAATTCCCCCTTGAGATACGGTGAATGTCGATAGAGGATATCCTTTTCGATTGCGAAAGCTTGTAGGTTCTTGCCTACTCTGATGTGGACAATGGAACTACCCTCTTTTCTAAAACCAGATCAGAAAGCGCCTTGAAAAAAAGCGAAATTGACATGCAACAAGTGCTTCAATAGTCATTTGGTGTCACGCAGCCAATGAGGAACCAGGTATGTATGGGGCAGTTGTACTTACTTGTGCTTCTTGGCTAAAGCTCTCAGAGATGGCGACATTTTGCTATCAAACGACATATTGAATGATTTGAATATTCGGTTTGTATGGCCCTTCGGTGTTGTTTACCAGAAAACGGGTTCCTTGAAAGTTGGTAGTGTTGTAGACAAGGTTGTTGTGTGAATTAGGTTGCTGTGTAGGGAAGTTGATTGATGTAAAGCTGTTGTATGGACACTTATTTCATACAAGTGTAAGAATAGATCAAGCACTTTTGGTGAGAGTGTTGTAGACAAAGTTGTTGTGTGAATCAGGTTATTGTGTAGGGAAAGTTGACGGATGCAAAGTTGATGGATGCAAAGCTTTTGTATGGACACTTATTTAATACAAGCGTATGAAAGATCAAGAACTTTTGGTGAGCAGGTCATGTATAAATATTTAGTCTGCTACCGTATGAAAGCGAGGAGCTTCTACGGCTCCTCTCACAACTGAACTTCCAGATATCTGAGAACGTGATAACAAACAGGGCTATTGTATTGAATCAGGGCGCGCTCGTACGGTGTGAAGATAATTTATGGGGTAGATGATGGAAAATGCTATACATAGTGCTAATGTCGAAAGCTTCATGGTGGTGATCAATTGAGATCATTCACCTCCCTCCATGCATCCTGGACACAGTGCTCCGGGAATGCTAATGTATTCTTTAGTTATGGCTGAGTTTCTAAAAGTACAGCACCTCATTTTCCCAATGCAATGACAAACTTGTTGGATAGTATTATTGGAGCCAGCTTTATGGTCCTGGAATATGCAGTTATCATACTCATGAGCGCCACGTTTTGATAGTCTCTTTTTGCCCATGGTTATGCACCTATGGAACTAGATTTTTTAATTTTGGGTTTGAAAGTTACTTGACGACTCGCATGAAATATATTTGCCTATGTGGTCATAAGACCCTGATCATTCGTTTCTTCGTCTGTTCCTATATGAGATCTTTTTGGGCTCTTCTTCGTCTTTAGAATACAAGGCTGCTCCAACATCATTCATAAGCTTATCCAGATACCGAGCTTGTATAGCTTCTGACGAAGACTCAGGCTCAGATCCAAGCTCTTTAAGCTTCTCCCTGTACTCACGCGCGTCACCTGAATCTTCAAAATGTCTTGTTGCCCTATCAACCCTTCTTTTCCACTTCCGCTTCTCATCATCAGAATCCCCATTTCTTGCCAATTTCTTCACCTCATCATGCCTCTCTCTAAACTGCGACACCGGCAAACTCTCCCAATTTTCTGCTTTCCTCAACACCCCAATCGCCTTCACCACCCACTCACACCGCGGATTCATGCCCTTCGCCCTCACCTCCTCCCACTCTTCACTATCCATCGTATCGGCCCTCACGGGGAATGGCAAACACTCCGCCACCCGCGCATAAATCTCCTCCCTCTTCTCATTCCTCTGCACCCATCCAATCTTCACCATCAACATATTCTTTCCTCCCAACACAGCATTCGGCTCCCCTCCATTAATATCAAACTGCGCATCAGCTTCCTCGCTACACGGCGATATATCAAGCGTCTTCATCCCCTTAAAATCATTATACATAGTGCGAAAAGATACAGTAGCAACGAATTTTCCAGATGTATTCCGGTTGTAGAGATGGAAAATTAGGTATACGTGCGTAGAAAAGTGATGCTGGGGTGAAACGTAGACGCCTGGTGCGTGGAATACGGGGTGTAAAGTCTCGCGTGTGTGGATTATTTTGGGTGGGGGTCGGGGAGGTTGCGGTTTCTTGGTGCGCTTCTTTTTGGAGGCTTGGTTGTTGTTGTTGTTGTTGTTGTTGTCGTGGCGCCAGAAATTGCCGAGGGATGGCATGGTGTGTGGGGGTTCGGGAGGGGAGAGTTGGAGAGTTGGGGTTTGAGGTTTGGGGGAGTTTTATGTGTGGTGTGGTGTGGTGTTGTATGTGGTGATGGTAAGTAAGTGAGGAATGGGGTGCATGTGAGGGTCTTCCAACATATAGAGTGGACCGAGTGGTCGCTAGCCTGGGTTGGGGATGGGGTCGAAGTCGCGGGCTTTTGTCTAAGCCTCTTGGCTAGAACGTTGGTTATAGTAGACGCTTAGATATGGGTGGTCAGGAGTTGTTTGCTAGGAGGTTATATGATTACTGTATTCTCTACATAAATTGAATAGATTGGATGTGTAGAAAACAAACTTCAAAAAAGAGTAAGAGGAATTTGTAATTTCATCAGGTAGCGAAATGAAGATGTCAAGGACTACCTTAGCGAATTTTTCAATGATGTAATTAATTACTGTTGGGCATTCGGAGTTAGTCAATATATTCAGTCGTATCTAGACCTCCTCCACTATCTCCCTCTTCTTCTCTACCTTGTCGGTATGAAATAAGTTCTCCTTCCACATTGTATACAAAGAGGCTTTCCCTCAAATACATACTCGAGAGTCGAGTATGTCACATCAATCACCTCCGAGTCCGATACTACCTTTTATTTACGGCCAGCAGCTTTTGAAGTGATTGTTTGGTAGTTGGTTACTATCCTCTAATACTCGAGTACCCAAGCGATCTAGCGATCTAGATCAGGGAGATAGCGAACCTAAATATAAATAATACTTATATCGCGACATGACATTTTTTTCCCATCTAGACTCTATCTGCATCAGATGATTTAGATCAACGTCAGTACCATTGATTCGGGTTTGTATGATGAGATTGAATGGAGAGGAGGGGAGGTGAGGGGAGAATTGAAGGATTGAAGGGGTTCATGTGCTGTATGTATACTGACTAGTGATTAGTGATTTCATATATGGATAAGTATCTTCTGCTCTGCCTATAATTCAATATATAATTTAACTTTGCAATTTTGCGCTCTATTTTTTCTCAGGCGATGGTCTCTGAATTGATATATGATACATGATATGTGTTCTGACTTTGTATCTATTTATGGTGAATCTTGAATCTGAATCTGGTTTTTGCTTGATTGTTTAATTAGTATTGGCATTAGCTAGCGACTTATTAGGTTCTCTGTTGTTTGTTGGTTGGTTATCTAACATGTCTACTCGAGTAAAATATGCCCTCCTATTTTTTATAGCATCAAATACCGTACTTATGTGCTAAATGAAGCACACCACACCACACCAATCCAAAATCAAAATCAATCAGCCAACTAGTCGTATACTGTCTAGCTGTTAGCTGACAAGATTTAAAAGCAGAATCAGACTATTTAGCCCTGGAATACATACCTTGCGATGACATTGCCATAGCTCCATGATCTCTAGATCTGCTGTTTGTTATTTATTATACTCCTTTCTAGATACCATACCGTATTAGTCTAGTCTTCCATTGGAGTTCTGAGTTCATTCCATGTGCGACTCCAAGATGTATTCTCTGAGCTGTATACTCAGTGCTGATTATGTGCATTATTTGGACTTGAGTTTACTGTACTTTAGTTGATTTCGCTACCCCTTTCATTGTGAAAATAGATGTGGTATTTGGATTGAGAGAAGCGTATTTTTATTTGGCGGCGACTGTCAGGAGTTGGCATGTGAGCGCGTATGAAGATATGCAGGTTGAAGAGATAGTGTGTTTGAACCTCTACTCGAGTATAGAGATAGGAAATGGAAAGAGCTTTCTGATTTCATATCTTTTCTTCCTTTATTTTCAGCTTATTAATTAAAACGTGTTATTCATTACTATCTCGCTTCCCCTTATAGTGACTTCGGTAAGGAATAAGTGAGTGGATAGAATCTGTTTGGTTGTTCTTATTTGGTGGAGGAACACGGATATCTAAATCCAATATAAGATATTGGGATGGCCGAGAACATCTTTTGTATGATATTGAGTAGGTAGATAGATTGCGGACTATCGGCGAACTTGCAGTGGCATGGAATTTTAGTCTCTGGGTACGAAAAGGCATCAAGTACACTTGTTTCAAGCATACACACTGCTATTGACCGACTCGGAGCTCGCCTACAAAGACCGAGTAAATGTTACCTAGAATCCTGCTCCTAAATGGGAACAACTTCTCACAAAAGTGATCATGTAAACGCTTTCGGACACAGTCTTTTTTGTCTATGTGGTTGTTTAATTTTATCAAAAGAATAACGGCCTTCCTCTCTTCTCCTCCTACAAATTTAATTTGCATTAGTATTATCCTCTCTTTTGATTGTATGATTACTTCATCCAGTTTCTTTTGAGGGGGGATGAGTTTAATTCCTGTCACATGGGATAAAACTGTTCAATTTGATGCTCAAGACACACCTTGTACATGAAACGAGATCTCGTTTGTGATTCTAATTTCACACCTTAGTTACCACTAATCCCAAACAATCTTCATCTAGAAAAACTCATTCCATCTAATCCAAACCTTATAAGTATGAATTGCCCGAATTTTAGCATTATTGTAGAAGTTACATTGTGATGAGTCTAGATTCAATAACCATGTTAGAGGCTGTACAGGTTTACTCGTACATACGAATATGTTTGATGTATAAGTGTACTCAATTCATTCAGGGACACTGATCCTTTGTGTGCTGTACCTACTTTAGTTCTGTACAACAGTGAATTAAGAGTAGTGTCTCTTGGATATTCAATCATACCGCTCTTTCGAAAGCGCCACTCATGCGATTGGTTTCCAGGTATGCAGAACAGCGATTACCTTATGTATTAGATTTTGGGCGATTGGATGTTGGTTTAAGAGGTTGGTCTCCCGACCTTTCGGGTTGAAACAGGATAGATTGTGGTGGCCAGTCTCCTGCATCCCAATCATCGTGTAAATGACGTAGTTGAGGCTTAATTCACCTATCGTCACCCTGGGTTTTGATGCTGGTCCCCCTTATAAATCTCTCTCATATTACAAGTCAATATGCACGATGATATAATTTACGGTTTATTACTGCAATCCTTATTCTCACTATCACTATCCAAAAGCCAAAAACCATCGGGTTCCTGCAAATCGAAGAAAGTAAACCTCATGACCTTCAATTTGTAATACAATAGTAGAAGAGAAAAATCAGATATATTGAAGAAGGTTTATTTATCTCTTCACTTTCAATTGCCTTTCGAGTTTATATTCTGACAATTCATATTAAGTATGACTACGTTATTTTTGATGCCTATCAATTTATACCACCTACTACCAAGCCATCAAGAACCAATTACGAATCATCCCGCATCAATCGTGCCTTTAAACTCAATCCAACCCCTCCTTGACTGCCGTTCATCCAATACGAATCACGCATTCAACCTTGCATTATAACTTAATCAAGGAACCCACCACTACGACTACACTCCACTACACTACACTACACTACACTACACTACACTACCACACTATTTGCTACTAGGAAGACCCCATCTATCAATATGGATTACGCCCCCATAGCCCTCCAAGCAACAGACGTTTTCCTTGATAAACATTTCCATAAAATCCCCGATAAAGCATTTAGGAAAGAAACCTACCGACCGCGCATACCATTTAAAGCAAGTAGGAAAAAGCGCAGAGAAGAAAAGGAAAGAAGGAACTCTCAAGATCAGAGACCAAGTCAAAACGAACGAAGAGATTCCCAAGATCGAGGAGAGGATAGGGATAAGGGATTGCAAAGAAGAGAAGAGGAACCGTATAACGACCCGGAAATCGAAGAAGCAGGCTACGATTCCGAACCTGATCATTCTTCACGACAAAGAGAAAGAGGGAGAAATATAAGGGGTAGAGATTGGGATTGGAAATCGAGAGGAGGCGATAGGGATCTTAGAGATATACCGAGACATAGTGGTGCAGATGCAAGTCATGCATATGGGCATGCATATGAAGAATCCAATCGTTCCAATACATCACCGCAACTACCCTACAGCCAACAACCACCACATGTCCGTTCTGAATATCTCCCAAAATATGATGGTCACCCACAATTGGACACTGCTAGTCACAATCCATTATACTCTCCTCCTCTGCCCATAGCGCCATCTCCGGCATTGGGATCTGGATCGGGCAGAGATATAGATGAAAGGGGGAAATTTTATGATTCGGATGAGAAATACGAAGGAGAAAGAATGCGCAGACCAAAACCTATTCAGAGACGAAGTTCCTATGACGATATTCACAGCCAACGAGTATCCCATTCCTCCAAGTTAGACCAAAGACTTTCCACTCGCGATCATAATCAACATCAAACTCAAAATCGCAGACGATCTAATTGCAGTAATAGCAATTCAGAAAAAGAAAGCCAGATGAAGAGTATGAAAGATAAAGATCGCGCCGAACGCTACGGACTCAAAGATGAAGTGAAAGGACTCTTTACCGATTCTCCGAAGGGATTGGCAGGAGGTGCAATTGGTGCGTTGGTGGGGGGATGGGCGACGGAGAAGTTTCAGAAGGGTAGGGGTAGGGAAAGGAGGGATATGGGGGATCGGGCGAAAGTTATTACGTTGTTGGGGGCTGTGGCGGGGGGTTTGGTGGGTAATGCTGTGGTGGATAGGTGGGAGGATGGGAGGAGATGAGGAAGAGGGAGAGGGAGAGGGAGAGGGGATGGAAATGCAAGGAACGAAAGGGAAAGGAGAAATTCAATCAGGAGCCGAGATGCTAGTCGAAGGGATAGTCACAGGGATAGCAATTGGGAGAAAAACATAGCTTATGATGAAAAGACTATGATTATTCAGGAATGACAGGAGAGGTAACATTATGAGGGGTTTGTTAATGGGTATTACTGAAGTGGAGGTATAACATTTAGGGTACGGGGTATGGGGTGCGGGATGGGTTGGGACTTGAGATGATGCATACATACCATACGTGCGATGAAATTAGGAGGATGATGATAACGAGCGATGGTTTAGGGAGTTTGAAACTTGCGCGCTGAGAAGCAAAGCAAAGGCTGCAAAGCACTGTATTTTATTACGAATTTATGATATGATATGATACGATGACTTCAAGATGGAAACGGTGAGACAAGACATGGTGATGGTGATGGTGATGGAATGGGATGAAAGTGATGTTGATATCCTTTGATTCAACTTAAACCATATTTTACTACTTGAGTACATTGTTTATTTACAATACTTCAAGTCAAGTCATCTATACTCGAGTACTTGAGTATTTATACGTAACACTACTGTAGTATCGATGAACTTACTAGACTAGTTAGTAGGAATTACATAATTACATATATAGAATGTTATTTATCTATCTTTATCTGTATTTATCTATAATATCTATCTACTTCTATTCTACTTATATACTTACTTACTTACTTACATATTAATCATCGTCTCATCTCATCTCATTTTATCTCTATAATAATAAAACCGTTAAAACGAAACATTCGCTCATACTAGTAGTATACTTAGATATTTATTCATCTACTACTGGTATATCCAAAAGAAAACTCTCATGTCTCATCTTTCCTCATCACTCTTCGTCAAAACACAAAAGAATCCTCAACAAAAAATTAACCCATTCAATTAAATATAATTCCTCACCTAACCTCCCCCTTTACCATTACCCACCACACCACAATTATCACAACCACAACCCCCTCCCAATCCCAATCCCAATCCCACAACATCCTTCAAAAAGAATCCACCCCAAAACAACTTTTCACTAAACTTCTCAACTTCATTCACCACCACCAAACCATCCAAAGAAAAATCAACTCAACCCCCACCATACAAAACCCCAAAAAAGTAATTCTGCGTTCGCCGGGAATCGAACCCGGGGCCATTGCAAGTGATCAAGTTCTCGAATAGTCAAGAGATCTTGGCAAGCAACGATTTTACCACTAAACCACAAACGCTGACTGTACTATCGTACTTGTTGATGGAAATAGCTGTGTTATTTTGTATTATAAATGAGTACAGTGAAGTGGAAATTGATGCAGCGGTGAAGATTTTTGCTGGTGGGGTATATGGGTGCAAGTGGATTTGGTGGGGTAGAGTGGAGTGGAAGACGGGAAGTGGAGGTTATAACTGAACCGGCATTCTTCTTGCTATTGGATTCCTAGCACCGGCATCTCTAAATAAGAGTCTAAGGGAACTTCATCTCATCTCATCTCATCTCATACTCAAGCCGCCAGAAAGCTTACAAATCAGTAGACTAAGTGAGTTAAAAGTCTCTTATCGATATCTCGTGTAATAATTGTGTAAAGTTTTATAACAAAATCATTATTTACAATAAATACTTACTTGAACGATTTGAGAATAATGTAACGGAATAAGAGAATCTTCGATTGCTATTGATGCAAAAGTATTAACCGAATTCCCCTTTTTTACGGTTTTCCTTGTCAAATATTAATAGTGGTTTGTATAAGGTTACTTTCTGGCGACACAAGTATGTAAATGAGATAATAACAAAACCTATTCCTAATCCTTATAATAATATATTTAATAATCTTTTGGTAGTGTGACGGAAC